TTTCAACAAGCTCAAAGCACTCTGGGATGAACTGGAAGCGTACCACACACCATTTACCTGTAATCAACGTCAAATACATATTAATCAATGCGAAGAAGACAAGTTGATGCAATTGCTCATGGGGCTCAATGAGTCTTATAAAACGATGAGATCTAACATATTGATGATGTCTTCATTACCTAATGTGAGGCAAGCCTATTCATTACTTGTACAAGAAGAGATGCAGCGTCAGGTAATTTCTGAACCTACTGAGAATTTCTCGATTGCATCAGCAGTGCAGAAGAAAACAACATATTCAAAATTCGTCAAGGACAAATCGTGTGAACACTGGAATAAAAGTGGTCATACAATCAATGAGTGTCGAATCCTTAAGTTTCATTGTAAGTTTTGTGATAGAAGGGGACATACAGAAGATCGATGTCGACAGAAAAATAATTCTTGAAGGACAAGACAAGTCAATCAACAAAATAATCGTGGATACCGATCATCTACAAATATGGCCGATGTTTTTCAGTTGAATACAGAAGAACAGTCATCTAATTCCATTTCAAATTTTTCTTTTGAGCAATTACAACAGATAGCACAAGCAAACTACAATCAATCATCGCCCGATAATTCTGACAATCACATCAATGTTGCAGGTTTGTTTCTCATATCTACATTATTTATTAACTCTGCGAGTTCTAATTCATGGATTTTCGATAGTGGAGCTACGGATCATATAGTATCAAAATCTTCTGTTATGACTGAACCAAAGGCTGCCATCATGTCTACAATAAATTTGCCTAATGGAGAGACAGCACGTGTCATATACTGTCAATATTTTCCTTAGCCCTAACCTTAAATTAAACAACGTTTTATGTGTGCCTTCATTCCATTTAAACCTAATGTCCATCAGCAAACTTACCAATAACTTGAAATGTTATGTCACCTTCTATCATGATTCTTGTGTTATGCAGGACTTGGCTACGGCGAAGACGATTGGCTAGGGTAAACAATTTGGAGGTCTCTTCATCTCCAATCAAATCTTCAGCTCATCAAGTATCTCAGTCATCTGATTTGTGGCATTTATCCCTAGGTCATCCTCCTTTTTCTCATTTTAAATTTCTAGCTGATCAATTGCATCTTAATAATGCGAGTTATTCTCATAATTGTAGTATCTGCCCGTTAGTAAAACAAACTAAGTTGTCTTTCCCAAGAAGTTCAATAACAACTCATTCTGCCTTTTATTTGATACATTGTGATGTTTGGGGACCACATAAAATTTCTACCCATTCTGGTTTGTGTTTTTTTCTCACTATTATTGATGATTTTACTCGATGTACTTGGATTTTTCTAATGCAACATAAGTCAGAAGTACATCATTTGTTAATGAACTTTGTTAAATTCGTTCAAACTCAATTTCATACTACTATCAAGATAATTCGATCAGACAATGAGACTGAGTTCCTATCTTTGCAACCATTCTTTACTTCTTGTGGCATTGAATTTTAGCGCACTTGTGTCTATACTCCACAACAAAATGGAGTCGTAGAACGTAAGCATCGCCATATCCTAAATGTAGCTAGGTCTCTTCTTTTTCAGTCACAGGTTCCACTTAATTTTTGGGGAGAATGCATTTTAACGGCTATTTATCTTATAAATAGAACATCATCATCATTGTTATCTAACAAGACACCCTTTGAAGCACTCTACAAACGACCACCTACATTTCATCATCTTAAAGTTTTTTGTTGTAAATGTTATGCAACTATAATACATCCTAAGCAAAAATTTGAACCTCGGGCAATTCCTTGTGTTTTCGTAGAATATCCTTGTGATCATAAAGGTTACAAGTTGTATGACATGCAATCTCACAAATTCTTTATCAGCCGTGATGTTAAATTTTGTGAAGATGATTTTTCTTTTTCATCAGCTTCACAAACTTTGACATTAGCTCCTTCGACTCTTGTTGTACCACTTCATGATCCATCCTACTCAAACATTCATCCTCCACCTTCTATTCCTTCACCTCCTATTCTTCCTTCACCTCTTATCCCTTTACCTACTACTTCGTCTCCTCCACCTTCTCCAGATTCGCCCACTAATTCTAATCTATCCCACCTAATACATCAGCTTCACTCCGACGTTCTACTCGTACTAAACAGCCTCCAGCTTGGCATAAGGATTATGAGATGTCTTCTGGAGCCAATCATTTAACCTCTAGCTCAAGTCCCGGCACTGGTATCAGGTATCCCCTTCCTCATTATCTTTCATTCTTTCGTTTTTTTCTCCTACTCAACATGCTTTTCTAGCTCTTATTACATCCCAGACAGAACCTAAAACCTATGATGAGGCAGTTGGCGACCCGTTATGGCAGCAGGCTATGAATGATGAAATTGCAGCTTTGGAACGTAACCATACATGGTCTCTTGTTCCTCTACCACCTGGTCATAAAGCTATTGGTTTTCGTTGGGTGTACAAAATTAAATAAACTCTGATGGTTCTGTTGAACGTTATAAAGCTCGACTTATAGCAAAGGGATACACTCAGGTTGAAGGTATTGATTACACAAAAACATTTTCTCCTACAGCAAAACTTACTACACTTCGTTGTTTACTCACTGTTGCTGTTGTTCGAAAATGGTTCACCCATCAGTTGGATGTTCAAAATGCCTTTCTCCATGGTAATCTAGACGAGGAAGTCTATATGTCTTTATCGTCAGGTCTTTGCCAACAGGGGGAGAATACAGTATGTCGGCTCCATAAATTTCTTTATAGATTAAAACAGGCTTTTCACAATTGGTTCTCCATATTTTCTACAACTATACAAAATGCAAGCTACACTCAGTCCAAAGCAGATTATTCTTTATTTACTAAGAGTAAATGTACTTTTTTCACTACAGTTCTAATCTATGTTGATGATATTTTGTTGACATGCAATGATCTCAAAGAAATTCAATATCTCAAGACTAGTTTACTTAAATTTTTTATCAAAGATTTAGGAAATTTGAAATATTTTCTAGGCATTGAATTTTCTCGGTCTAGAAAATGAATTTTTATGTTTCAAAGGAAGTATGCTCTAGACATCCTTCAAGACACAAGTCTTACAAGAGCACATCCGGACAAATTTTCTATGGAGCAAAATCTGAAACTTTCTTTAACTGAAGGAGAGAAGTTGAATGATCTAAGTAAATACAGACGGTTGATTGGCAGATTAATATATTTGATCGTCACTAGGTCTGACATAGCTTATTCAGTTCGTATGCTTAGCCAATTTATGCATGAACCAAGAAAACCACATTGGGAGGCAGCTCTTCGAGTTCTGAGATACATCAAAGGCACTCCTAGTCAAGGACTCCTACTACCATCTGAAAACAGTTTAAGATTGCAAACATATTGCGATTCTGACTGGGGTGGTTGTTGAACTTCCAGACGGTCTATTTCTAGGTTCTGCATTTTTCTCGACAATTCAATAATTTCTTGGAAGTCTAAAAAGCAGACTAATGTGTCTAAATCATCAGCATAAGTCGAGTATCGAGCTATGACAAATACTTGTTTAGAGTTAACTTGGTTAAGATACATTCTTCAAGACTTGAATGTTCCACTGTCCAAACCAGTATTATTATATTGTGATAATCAAGCAGCATTACATATAGCAGCCAATCTAGTTTTTCACGAACGTACGAAACACATTGAAATAGATTGTCATATAGTTCGAGAAAAGCTACAAGCTGGAATCATCAAACCATGTTATGTTTCGACTAAAATGCAATTAGCATATGTTTTTACTAAAGCTTTGGGAAGACATCAGTTTGATTTTTTGAAGAACAAGTTGAGTGTGATTGACATACACTCGCCGAACTTGAGGGGGAGTATTAAGATATGATATTTGGAGATATATTTTAATAATTAGTTAGGAGTATATTTGAGATATTTTGGGAGTGGGTTAGTAGTATATTTTATTTTAGATTTGATTAGACATATATTTTATTTATTTTTAGGTAGTTTGTATCCTATTTAAACATAAATGAAGATCATACTTTCAATCTCAATTCTATTTCTATTTCTCATTTTCAACCTTCATTAACAACAAATGCTTATTTTAATGACTTATTGGTTCTTATGATTTTCGTTCTATGGTTTCCCGCGGCTCTAGCCTGCACTCAAAGCCATTGTTAGATCATTTCCAATTACTTTTTTTTTTAGATTCAAGTCTACCATTTCTTATTTGACAGATCGATCTAAAAGAGAGCATCAGTGTTAGATCTCACATCGGTTGGAAAGGGTAACGAAACATTCTTTATTAGGGTGTGGAGATCTCTTCCTACCATATGTTTTTTAAAACCGTGAGGCTAACAACGATACATAACAGGCCAAAGGGGATAATATTTGTTACCGTTGGGTTTGAGTTGTTACAAATGGTATCAAAGCTAGGCATAGAGCGATGTGCCAGAGAGGACGCTGAACCCTGAAAGGGGGTAAATTGTGAGATCTCACATCGGTTGGAGAGAGAAACGAAGCATTATTTATAAAGGTGTAGAAACCTCTCCCTATCAGACACGTTTTAAAACTATGAGGCTTACGGTGATACATAACGGGCCAAAGCGAACAATATTTGTTAGCGGTGGGTTGGACTGTTACAAAGGATATCAGAACTAGGCACCAGAGTGATGTGTCAGCAAGGACACTGGGCCTCGGAAGGGGGTGGATTGCGAGATCCTACTTCGGTTGAAGAGGGGAATGAAGCATCCTTTATAAGGGCGTGAAACCTCTTCCAAGCATACGCATTTTAAAACCGTGAGGCTGACAACAATACATAACAGGCCGAAGCGGATAATATCTATTAACAGTGGGCTTGGGCTATTACAAATGGTATTAGAGCTATGCACTGAGTGATGTACCAGCAAGGACGCTGGGCCTTGAAAGGGGGTGGATTGTGAGATCCCAAATGTTGAAAAGGGGAACGAATCATCCTTACTCCCTCTCACTAGCTATCACGTTTTAAAGACCCTGAACGGAACCCAAAAAGAGAAAGCCCGAAAAGAACAATATCTACTTGGCTATTACAATCACGAGATTTAACCAACCTTTTTAGAAATAATGTCAACTACATCGATCATATGTGTGAATGTTTGATTAATCCACCACACTACCTAAATGGTGTGAAAGTTATCTTATTTATAATCAAGTGAATTACAAGGATATGGAAATAGTAATAAATGGAAATAACAATAAATGGAAAGATACCTATAATAATAAGGCAAATATTTATTTGCCTTATAATAAAATATCAAATATAGTATATATGGTAAACTATAATTTATTACTAAATATCCTTAACACCCCACCGCAAGCTAAGCGTCGGATTTAAACGAACGTGAAGCTTGAATCTGAAAAATTCAAAGAGGTTGAGAAACACTTTTCTTGAAGATGCTAACAACCCGGTTCTTGGCCATCGAAAATTGCAGAGGAATCGCCGCTCAGCGGCAATGCTGCCTTGGCTTCGGCGAGAATATGTCTAACCCATGAAGAGGGATTGTCGCTTAGCGACGATGCTGCCTTGGCTCTGGTGAGAATATTTCTAACCCCAAGAAGTAGAAGGGGAAACCTAGAGCAAGGGACAAAGACAATGTTGAAGCCGGAAGAGTCGCCACATTGGGCGAAGGAGCCAATTTTGGCGAGAAGGGCAGTCGGAAGAGTCGCCTCATCGGGCGAAGAAGCCAATTTTGGCAGGAAGGGCGGTGGCAACTTGGTTGGCGAATAGGCCAGTGCGGCACCCAGATTCCGAAGGTAAATCTCTGCAAAAGGTTGATAGGTTTAGGTTAGAGTTTATGTGAAGGATGAAGGTTGATTGGGAAGAAAATGAGAGAGACTATATTGGCCNAGGGGAAAACCGATTGGGTTGGAAAAGGTAAGGTTGTATGTACAGAGTATGACGAAAGGTGATTTGGAGGTCAATAGGGTGGAGCCAGAGTAATCAATCGGCTCCGCCTGCGGCAGCCATGAAGACTACCCCTGCGCCGTCAAAGCCAACAATGGTGGTGGAGAAGAAGATTAGAGGATTCAAAAGCCATTGAAAAGAAAGGATCGGGGTTGTTAAACCGAGAGGGCTCTGATACCATGTGAATGTTTGATTAATTCACCACACTACCTAAATGGTGTGAAAGTTATCTTATTTATAATCAAGTGAATTACAAGGATATGGAAATAGTAATAAATGGAAATAACAATAAATGGAAAGATACCTATAATAATAAGGCAAATATTTATTTGCCTTATAATAAAATATCAAATATAGTATATATGGTAAACTATAATTTATTACTAAATATCCTTAACAATATGGATCGAAAGATCGAGCTTGTGCCCATCTTTTTACACGTTAACGATTCAGCCCTTATTAACCTTTTATAAAGTCATTTTTTTTTTACAGATTATGCTTCTATGTTCTTCATAAATAGCTTAATAATTCTATCTACTATGCCTTCATTTGCATGATTGAGAAGGCAAAAGAGTTGTCTCTTCTGCCCTTTTTGTCTTCCTCCTCCTCTCTCCTTCAACTTCCAACCTCACTCCAAACAGCTTTGGCCTCTCATCTTCTTCTTCTTTCCTTGAACCATTCCCATACTTAGCCACCAAATCAAGAAGCTCTCTGCACTTCTCTTTCATGCTTGCAAGCTCTGAGCTTAAGGCCCCATTTTCCTTCTTCAACCTCTTGTTCTCATCCATTAGTGTATTGTATTGTGACGAAGATGAGTTTGAGGAGGAAGATCTCTGATCTTCATCGACCTCGTGTTGTACCTCGTGTTGTTGCTTGTTCGTCCATGCCTTTCGTCTTCGTATTTCACAAAGCTTTTCCTTTTCACCCTTTCGAAATTTGTCGTTGCAAAACTCCCACCTTGTTGTCGTCACCTTTCGAAACCCCTTCAATAAAAATTTAAACTTTGAGAGAACGATCGATCAGCTTATCAACTTATAAACCTTAAACCCTAAATGCTATAGTACTTTACTCTTATTCACTAGATTTACTATTTTGTCCTTAATCTTTCTTCTAAAATGGATTAAGTTCTTAATAAAACATATTAGTTAAAGGTAATTTTACAATAAATAAATAAATATAATTAAATTACATATAAGAATAATTAATTCAAATTGGTTTTGACCAAGTCAATCATTTGCAATTAAATGACACGTGGCATGTAAGGACCCTACTTTTTTATTTTTAAAAAACAATGGGTTGGTAAAAATAAAATAAAATTTTGGAAAATGGGTTTAGGTTTATAAAGTATTTAATAAAAATGGAAAATTAAATTTTTTCTTTCTTAATATTTAAAAGAATATATTATTTATTTAATTTTCATTATTTTTTAAAGTATCAAAATATAAATAAGTTTATAAAATTATAACCACTAGTTAGGATATCTATTCTATGACAACTCTAGAAATTACTAGACAAAAATTTATTTAAAATTTAAAAATTTATTAGAAGCTTTTAATGTATTAACTCATTAATCATTAAACACGATTAAAAGGATCAGAAATTAAACTTCTCGGGAAAATATTTTCTACAATTTTTCTTAATCTAAGATGATCGTTCTTCCTTTGTGGTCGTTCGGGTTTTGTCTATTCATATTTGTAATTCAACCCGAAAATTAGAGGAAAAAAATTTTAAAATAGGGTTTAAAAGAGTAAAAATAAATAAATAAATAAATAAAATAATACGTACGTATGTATTAAGCTGGCGAACAAAGCTAGAGAAATTGCAGTGTTTAAAGAGCTTCGGCAAAACATCCTTTGCGAACTCCGCCGTCTGCCAAACCACAAACGCCGTCCCCTCGCCGTTCCACGATATCACCTTGTCCGTCGCTGGATCCTCCACCACCGTATAAGTCTTCACCAGAAACGGCGGCGGCGTTGACTTTTTGATCATACTCTCTACCGTCCGCGGCGGCGACGGCAACCGCAACCCCTTCTGATCACCATTATTATTGCTCACTCCGGCCTCCATGAACACTCAAAACACCAAAATTCAACGCAAAGTGATGAGGAAATGAATGAAAGATTGGATTTTTAGAGACTTTAGAAGAAGAGAATTAATGGGTTTTTTTTTAAAAATTAAAAAATGGACCATTTCTATGTTTATAGTCAGAGATTGTTGGGTGATCCTGTAAATTAATTTATTTAAAAAATAATTAAATAAATAAAAATTTTAATAAATTTAATGATGTTTGAAAAAGATTGAATTTTGGTTGTTGGGGTAAAAGAGTATGGTTTTCTTGTAATGTGGTGTGGTTTGACTAACCATCTTTTGGTCAATGGAGTGAATGAGAGGTTTTGGGAAAATAAATATATTTTTTTTTAAGGTTAAACTATAGTTTTAGTGTTTGAATTTTGACGATAATCATATTTATTTAATTTGTTTGATTTATGAATTCTAGAATGTTTTGATTTGAAATGGAGCAGTTTTTTTCGCTCGGTAGGAAAAAATTATTTCTTGGCATTGGGGTGAGAAATGTCCCAACGAGATGGTTGGGAGCTGAATTTTGCGAAATCAGCGCGTTTTCGTTTGCATTCTAGTGCGGTTTTGAAACGGAGCGGTTTTTTCGCTTGGTAGCAAAAAAATTATTTCTTGGCATTGGAGTGGGGAATGCCCTCAACGAGATGGTTGGGAGTTGAATTTTGCGAAACCGACGAGTTTTCGCTTACGTTCTAGGACGGTTTTGAAATGGAGCTGTTTTTTCGCGAAAAAATTATTTAAATGTTAATGTAAGCGATATAATTTAATTAGTTAAAATATATACTCTCAATTAGAGATATTTACGGGGTGGGACAGAGACAAGAAAACTTTCCTAGTCCTGTCTCACCACCTATTTTATTCTCCATATCCGCAAAATTCTTTATTTATTTTTGGAAATTTCTTAGAGGTGTATATAATATAATATAAAATATGTTCTTCCAAAATAATTTTTTAAAATTTAAATTATAATATTACAACACAACCGTATTTGGTTTAAATATTATCAAGTCAACTTCTCCCTACCCAAAGTTATATACTGTGAACCGTTATTGTTACTCTCTTCCTTGCTTATATAACATCTCTTTCGAAAATCTCTCTCTACCTTCGTTTTCTACAATCTTCTCTTAAACCGAGGCTCGACGCTCGAGCATACGTCGCTTAGCCATAGGCAAGGTAAGAATGAATTGGCTTAGCTCACTTGTCGTTGGAAGGTGAGTGCCGCACAATTGCAAGTCTGCTGCCATCAAGAGTGCGATTGTGACAAATTAATTTGTTTATTAATATAGTCAAAAAGCAGAACTGTTGCATGTGTTAGAGCAGGTGGGGAATTAGGCGGAATAGGACTGGGAATATAATCCCGTTCCTGGACCCATTTATCTAACCGGAAAAAATTATTTCAATTCCTCTCTCATTCCCCTCCCCGTTCAAGGCGGTAAAATGGAAATCTCTACTCTCGACTAAGAAATTAAAAGTTTGAACGCTTCCTCTCTCACATATTGTTGAGCTTCAAAAATAATTTCTATTTAAATGATAAAGTGAGTAAAGCTGAACGGACTAATTCATATAATTTCATATTAGAAGTTCAAATCTCTACTCCTAAAGTTCGCTGTGTGAATATGATACGTTTGTTTAGAATAACATGATAAGGAATGACACAATGGAGTTGATAGCCACCTAGATAAAATATGGATGGCATGAAACGTATGCTACTCGTTGAATTAAATATAGTTTATGACATGTCGTGATTTTCAAGAGGACACTAATTTTGAAATTTCTATCATTGAGTCATAAAGACGAAAGTGAAAGTGCACCTTGTTGGTATTGATAGTAACTTTCAATTCTCTTAAGTCTCTCCAAGCCTTGTTGATAGTAACACAATGGAGTTGATACCCGTCATTTACTCAAGTGCAACATTAATGATAGAGACATTCAACATGGCGCTCAATGATCCTCTCCAAGCCTTGATTTGCCCATAGAAGTACCAAGGTGCATACACAGGTTGGCATGCATAAACGGTAGAACATGTGGTTTAATTCAATACAACTCTAAGTCGATCGACGGGTTTTGCTCGACCGAAATTAATTTTCTCTTCTCTATTTTCTTTTTTTTTTTTTTTTTTTTTTTTTTTTTTTAGTTGGGGGAGTTTGATGCTTCACTTTCTTTGATTACAACAACACAATTTCTTCACCTAATTTCATCTCTAGGAGAGAAAGTCAAGCGGTGGGTCAACACCTACCTTATAAAGATAATCTTGAACAAAATTTTTTATACTCTATTTCATAAACGTCACGTTATTTTAAAACTCGATCATGATGTGCTCGTAAGCTTGTCATCCAAGAATTTGCTCGATGATGCAAATGAGATAGGTAATTGTTCGGGGAGAATAACTTGTAGCCTTCTCAATTTGAATCATAGAATCGTACGTAAATTTTGGTACTATTCTCAACCAGCTTCTATCCATTTGAAGAGCCTTAGCTCATATCATCTACAAGAGTTTGATCTATCGTTAATTATCATAATCTAATAAGAAATTCTATCTATGCGATTGAAAGTTCAAGTTTCGAAATAAATAATATAAAAATGTTAAATTTGTTATAGTTAAAACGTTTTTTTTTTTAAGAAAATCATTGTAAATCACGTCATGTCGATCTTTCATACTGATTAGTTTAGAGATTAGAAGCCCTACACCGAGAGAATTGGTCTTTGGAAGAGTTGCATCGTTGTCGTGAGTGAAATTTTTTATTTATGTTTTTTTGTTGGATAATTGGGTTCAAATGTTCATTCCTATTCTGGAATAATTTATTGTCATCCTATTTAAATTTATGTCCTAAAATCCCGTACTTAATTATTTAATTTTTAATAATAATTTTGAGCAATAAATTTTAGGTTAGGGAGACGGGTTATTTATAGTTTAGTCAACTGTTATATAGTAAATGACATATAAAGTACATTGTCTGTATTCTTGTATTCTCTTGTTGTATATACTTGTAGTCATCAATACAAAACTTTATATATATATATATATATATATATATATATATATATATAATCCTCAGCCATTTGAAATTTTTTTTGTATTCTCTTACGGGATATACTTGTAGTCATCAATACAAAACTTTTAGCCAATATTCTCCTTGCATTTTCTCTATTTTGTTATTTGTGTTCATCTAGATTGAGGGTGTGTTGTTGTGCGATCCTAACAACAACTTACAAGGTATGCAGTGTATGAATGAGGTTTGATGCTTTATGTTGGCAATAGTATTGATTCGATCAATTTATAATTGTTATAAATGATTTGATCCAAATCTGTGACATCCCACATCGGTTGGGGAGGAGAACGAAACATTCTTTATAAGGGCGTGAAAACCTCTCTCTAGTAGACGCGTTTTAAAAATCTTGAGGGGAAGTTCGAAAGGGAAAGCCCAAAAAAGACAATATCGGCTAACGGTGAGCTTGAGTTGCTATAAACGCTTGAAAATTACTACATTCATGTTAGTACAAAAGCCACTTTGAAAATTACCAGTCGTGTTCATTAGTTCAACTCCTCAAACATTCCTCTATTTTGCGTGTATATAGAAAACACGGGAGACGATACACTTTCAACGTTCACACATGTATTACAAGGCCAAAGACGACCGAAGAGAATGTCGTCGTTATTCTTTTCATTTGAAAGAGAAGTATGACCTTCAACTTGTACTTCTTATGTATATATTGTTGTGATTTAGCATTTCTTTATTCGTTTCTTGGATTCGCATCTACGTGTATTCTCTCGTAGGTATGATGGTTTTGATCCCTTTATTCCCGCTAGTCTTGAGTGTGGGGACGGGGCAGGGGCTTCCTCTGTCATCACCATCCGACCTATCCAGTGAGTTCTCGTGGAGTGGGTCGTGGATTAATAATTATTATGGCAACCCAGATGAGGCATCATCTTCCCTACCTAACCTGGACCACATGCAGCTCAGCAAAATGTAGAGGGTGAGGGGAGTTCCGCCCCGGGGCTGACCCTATAGACGTGGAAATATGTTTCATGAGAAATTTATTGTACGAGATATTTTTTAAACTTTAGAGTATGTTGGTCTATTAGTTGGAAGAATCCGATAAAATATGACTCGTGTATTGGAGAGAAAAAAAATGAAATTTAGTCCCTATGATTTGATAAAATGACGATTTTAACCAATAATTAGAAGAATGAGAGATTTTTTTTTTATATAAAAAAATGTTAGAATTTAGTCCCTATAATTTGATAAATGATGATTTTAACCCATAGAAGAATCTGGTCAAATATAACTCGTGTGTACGGGGAGAAAAAATAAGAAAGAAAGTTGAAATTTAGTCCCTGTAATTTGATAAAATGACGATTTTAACTCAAAGTTTGAAAATTTTAGAATTTATTCCTTATAATTTTGATAAAATTAAAAGGGTAAGAATGGAATTTTAACATTTAAAATTACAATAATTAAATTCTAACTTTCTTAGGGACTATTGAGTAAATTTGTGAATTAAATGCATTTGGAGAAGCGTGTAACACACGCGCTAATGTGAAAAGGTGAAAAAAAAATGGTTCAGTTTTGACTAAAATAAATCGGATTTCAATTTGGTTTGGCCGCTGAACCCTTTCTCCACGTTACATAATTCTTTACCCGTTTTGCCCTTATGAAAAAATTAATTAATTAAATATTTTATTTAATAACAAAAAATAATAATAAGTTAAATTATAAATTTAACTTCAATTTATTTCATATTTTGGTTTGATATCATAATTTAGTTTTTATAGTTTAATCAATTTTTATAAGTGGTTGATAAGGAGGCTGGTGAATGTATATAAAATCCTATTTATTTAAAAAAAAATGGAATTTTAACCTCAAAATTTAGGGTTTATAAGTTGGATCGGGTCGAGTTATGACATTTTTTTAGACCTAATTTAATTGCTCGGGTTGTAAGCTTTTCTCAACCTGAATAACCCTTATTAAATAATGAACCCAACTCAATTCAAATTTGGGAGTGTTGAATGATACATCGTCTCCCTCGGTCGCATCATGGTATTTTTCTATATTGGTCCTCGAATTAGTGCCTCTTGATGGTCGCTGCT